GTTGGTTGGTTTTGGTGGTTGGTGGTTGGTGGTGGTTGGTTGGTTTTCGTGGTTGGTGGTTGGTGGTGGTTGGTTGGTGGTTGGTGGTTGGTTGGTTGGTGCTTGGTGCTTGGTGGGGGTGCCAGGGCGTACATCGCCAGGGCGCATTCTGTTCAGCACCAAGTACCCCGCCTACCACGCAAATCACACCGGCACAGCTGCGGCGACCCAGCGACCCCAGGGCGTACATCCGAACACTTGGAGAGCAGCAAGTAATGCACCTGCCACGCAAATCACACCGGCACAGAGGCGGCGACAGGTGGCACTTTGTTGGTGGCAATTGGTTGCATTTGGTGCGTGGCAATTGGTTGGTGACAATTATGGGTGGCAAGCGGAAGGCGGGAGGAGGAGGAGGAAGGAGCGGATCCAACACTAAAAACATAAACCCCACACGTCAATGTGGGGAAAAAGACATTGTCAAAGGCTTAAGATTCAAGGTTCTCGACGCATCTCTTTCTGTGTCACTGTCTTCTTCTTCACTTTCCATCACGCTGGAAGCATACGTCCTTGACCGGCAGCAGTCCAAGGCTATTTTTTCACTTTTCATCTCTCTGAGTGGACCGATCACTTTGGCCGGGCACACCCTTTCTTCGTAGCCCGGCTCCTGGGAAGCTCGTTGGGCTCAAACTTGGAGGTGCCATCGGTGCGGGGTCTGATGAACTGGCATGGCCTTCGGGCCAACAGGAGCTGCTGCAGCCGCGCCAGGCCTGTCGTCGTACTGGGCACCCCCCGCCGTAAGTCAGCAAATTCCCAACTTCGCAAAGTTGAAGTCCAAGAATATCGCGCTCATAGCGGCGCCTCATCCTGGAGGACGCCGCCGCCGCCATGGGAATCGGCACTGGTGCAAGCCAGCAGGATCCAAAGCAGGACGAGCCACAGCTGCCGAGGCCCAGACTCGGTGGCAGACTTTGTGTTCGCTTATGGTGCAGAGGTTCTTCATCGAAGTGGATAAAGGTCCTTTTGATGGCACCTCAGCCAGAGAACCCTGCTTGCCGGACCCAGTCACACCCCGTGTACAGGACTCAATGACATTTGCGTGAAAAGAGTTGGTGAAGGAAACTCAAACGTTAGGGGTGGGCACAGACCAAGGCAAGTCGAGTGAGACGATTTGCGCCTGCGGGGCGCTGAGGGGGCAAAGGTTCGAAGGGAACAGTCGTAAGGCAGGAGCCACGAAGTGCTGCCTCAGGTGTAGCGCCACCACTGCTTCTAATGGGCCATCTCGTCTCAAAGCTTTTCTACGTTCACGGATCTTAACACAAGTTCATCCAAGAAACGCGTGCAGATCCCGCCGCCAGAGCTCCGCGACCGGCCGCTCGCGCTGGATCATCGAGACGGCGGTCTCCGGATCGGCACCTGAGGTCATCATGTGAAGGATCGCCGCCATTGTCGGGGCACGGTGGTGGCCGCTGTTGCAGTGCATGATGATCCATAGGGACCCCCGCCCACGTACTTGCAAGTTGGGCGTGGGTTGCGATGTCGAGGGCAGCGCCAAGCTATCCCTCATGTCAAGCAATGCTGGCAACTCACATTCCTGCATCTTGCCCTTGTGGATCACAGATGCAGAGACATTGGTCGTGCCAGCGGCGACTTATGGAGCAGCCAATAGTGAGATGCCTTCATTTGATGAAGTTCCTCTAGTTATGTTCCTCTACAGGTTCGCCTCCGCTTTCCGCGACAGTCTCACGCTTTTGGCAACTTCTACCTTCATGTTCGACGACCTTCGTTTTCCGCCACGGCCAGTTACACACTTCGGCAACGTCCAGTTTCCGGCGCCATTTCCGCCGACAGGTACACACTTTGGCACCTTCCACCTTGAATGCTTGACGACAATTATATAAATACTAAACAGTTATACGCTTCGGCAACGAAATTCGCACTTTTGGAGACTTGAGGCTTGTCTTTTGGAGGAAGTCTCTTACGAAACGCTGTTTTGAAGACTTGACATGGTGGATTTTGGCAGATGTCTCGAATGAAACGTTAAGTTTGGGAAAATCTAGTCCGTGGCTGCGACCAGAGTGTCGTACGCCAGTGTCCCACAAGAGTGTCCCACAAAAATTTCAGAAGAGTGCTGTGGCGTCCCCACTCCTTGCCAGCAGGAATGCGGCGATGCTGGAGAAGGGGAGAAAGACGAACAAAAAGTCAACATCACCCACCCATGATGTTTAAAGAACTCTTAAGTCTCAACCCAACCAGTTTCAGGGTGTGCTGTGTTTTCTTTTGGAAAATCTCATACAGATTAGCACAACAGCCAGCTCTTTCAGAAACAAGTGCTCGTGTTTCCCTGTTTCAAGCAAGGGGTCTGTAGCAAGTTCCCGAAACTGCCACCGCAGGTTCCTTTGGAACCTGCAATTTGTGGGAGTCGTACACCAGCAACTGACTCTACAGGTCTCCGAAATGGATGTGTTTGCAAACTTAAACGTCGCAGGTGGTGACCGTCCTGGTTTTTGCTGTCCCTTTCAAGCCAGGTGAAAAGAAAGAAGCCCAAAACCATCCCAAAACCAAAGAAATCGCAATATTGAAAATTGGAAAAATTGCTTTCTATATTGAAAATTGAAAGAAAGAAGCAATTACAGATCTCCGAAATGGGGGGCTTGGGAAGGGCCCTATATACACCGGCGTCGCTTCGTCCTTGGGGCTTCGCTGGGCGCCGAAGACCCGCACGGCCAAGCTGCAGGAGGCCCGCAACGCGGGCTCGGCCTAGGGGGGCGGAACGGAGGGTGGTGGTGGTTATAGGCCTAGGACCTAGGGCCTATAGGGTCTGAAAACTGCACGTGTGCCAGGGTGGTGGTATTTGTTTTGTCGGGCACATGGAAGTGGAACTCAATGAGAATCTCTTTGGAACGCTTTAGAATGTACAACAAGGAGCACACGTGCTTCTGCCAGTAGCAGTGATCATTGACTTTGTCTTAGCAAAGCCTCACAAAACGAGTCGATGACGCGACCGTTCCGTCAGCCAAAACGCCTACATGTGGTACCCTTTGAATCCCTCCGAACCACGGTGGACTGTGGGAAGGTTGATTTAAAAGAAGGACCTGGTCAGATGGTTTTTCCTTGACGAACAGGGGTCATGTTCACTTCCATGTCCCAGACACTCATATATGCCGAGAAACGGCCAGGGGTGGTGGTGCCAGGGGGGTCTGGCTTGATCGGCAGTCCTATGGCAGTCCCAGACAGGTCGTGTCTAGGTGTGATGTGCTCGTTGGAGTGCAACGCAGTTTTTGAGGACGTGCCGCGTGATGACTTCCCTCAATGCCTACAGTCCGCGTGATGACGGGAAAACCACTGACTCACGAAATTTGGCAGCTTTGGAACTTCTGAAACTTCTTCTTGGATGTGCTTAAGGAACTGAGGAATCAACTTAAATCCCCATATAAGTTTAATACCAGCACCTTCCCTGCCAGGTCTCCGACATAGAGTGTGGGAGGCCCCTGTTGGTTTCAATTGGTGACCTGGTCGTCGGTGCGGGTAGAAACACACCCCTTAGGGCTCCAAGTACTTTCTAAGAAGGTGGGACTGGTGGGGGGGGTGCCATTCTCAGGTCCAGTAGGTCCTGTCATCCCATCTGAGGAGGTAACCACTGGAGCCCAAACGGGACCCTTCCATTCACCACCTCTTTAGCTCACCGAAGCACGGCTCCTCTCGACGCTGAACCCGGGAAGCCCCGACAGCGATCATCACGCCCAAATCCATGAGCTTCACCTGACGAGAGGCGATCGTTCCGTTCACCGGTCTGGGCGACCGTTGCCTGGGCCGGGCGAGACCGACCGAGTACCGGGGCGATCAAGAGGATCATTCGGTAGTTATAATCTGGGCCAATTGGGATAGTTTAGGTTAACCAACGTCAGCTTAGGTGAATAACCTAGCACCAGGTAGTTTCAATAAACCATCAACTGCCAATTGGGATAGTTTTTTCAGCTTGAAGAACCTGGCAAACGCCAAGCTTCGCGTTCGGCGCAGACCGCCGTGGGCGGCAACTTCCTCGAAGGCTGCGGAATTGAAAGGGAGTGCCTTTTCAGTAGGTCGGTGACTTTGACAGTCGCGCACGGGAGGGACGCGAGCCACCCAGCACAGCCCACCTTGGGCGATCGCCGCCCAAAAGCATCTCCGAAGGTGTGTAGGTGATGCAAGTGTTTTGAGGGTTCCTTCTTCTTTAATGGTCAATATGGGCAGCGTCACCCAAGTGTTGCAAGGATGATCTTCAGCAGTGGACCACTGTGGACCATTTCTAAAATGGCTGGGCAAGTTCTTTGTTGCAGACTCTGGTGGAACATAGTTGAAATACACGCAACACGCAGACACAAACACAGACACAAACACACACACACAAACACTTGCGACCATTTGAAGGGGTCTATGATTTTTGATCATCTTTACTCATTCTTGGTTCCCTGCGTTACGTGCACACATACCAGACCTTCATGTGTCTCACGCAGGGTTTCCCCCACACTACAGTCAGTTGTAGCCCCCGAGGAAGTCTCTGGCATGTCAAGGTGAACTGCTTCCCTCTCCCTAGGGATCCAAGTACCTCCTCAGAAGGAATTTGGACCCTCCAAACCTACATAACAGCGTCTCCAATCACCTTCTGAGAAGGTACTTGGATCCCTGGGTCTAGGCACTTTCAATTAAACAGATCAGGTTCACGGGGCGCCTGGCATTGGCGACCCCGTCGGCAAAGCCTCAAGCACGTCACCAGATTCACGACTGAGATCGGTGGAGTCAGTTGTGGAACTGCGAAAGAGTAAAAGCCGTTTTGTCTATAATCTCAAGGCGATGTTCTTAATGCAAAGATGTCCCAAGATCCGACCCAAATGAGCCCAAGCCAGAGCTCTGGAGGCGTGTCTCCTTTTTAAAGACATCTGTTATTGCCTATTGCTCTTTAGACTAATTTAACACACTAATAACTATATACCTGTTTTTGTCCTGTTCTGTGTGTGTGTTTTAGAATGCTTCTGACCTTTGTTTTTGTTCCTTTTCTACATTCAAAGGCTCACCTGGTGCTCATCGCGGATCGCCACAGCCCGGTGACCGGTGCGTCCGTCCGTCCTCAGCCCCCGCCCTCAGCCCGCCCAAGCGGCTGGAGGTTGCACGGCCGCAAATCACGATGGATCAGCTGGTGCTCTTGAAGATAGAGGCAAGCCTCCGAAGACAGCTTGTTTTGTACCCATACACCACGAATGGGACTGGATTTATATGCCGCCCCACTGAGGCCCCCCTGGCACCACCCCTGGCGTGATCGGCGGTCCTATGGCAGTCCCATTGGCCATCGCTAGTAGGTTGGAGTCCGAGGCAGGGGTCCGAAGTAGCACCGCGACAGGAGAGGAAGCACCGGACCATCCGGATGGGTCACAGGTGTCTCAAGAGTAAGTTTGACCTGTTTTTGGTCACAGAATCCCTCCACTCTCTTCTCTGGCCCTTATAGGGACTTGTGGTTTCATGTGGTTTCAGATTCGATAGATTCCCCTGCAAGTCCGTTGGACCATTTCAACCATGGTGGACCTGGTGTTGTAGTTGGACCAATCATGGTGGGCCAGGAAGCCGCTATTCGGCATCTATCCGAATCTATCCCAAAACAGTCCGAATGGGTTCCAAGTTCTGAACGGACTTGGAAGATGACTATAGCCCAACCCTGAACCGCGTGACCAGACCGGTTGTTCACACACACAAACAACTGCAGGGAGTCCATGTCGGACTTCAGGGACTTCAGGGACTTGTGGGCACCACAACACTTTGCTCCTACCCAAACGCTCCGTGAAACCAGCCCGACTCCCTCAAAACCTAGCGATTTGAGACCCCAAACCCCTCCATAGGATTTGGGTCCGACCCCTCCAGAGGATTCGGCTCCAGGGTCGCGTCTGGGTAGTAGCCTGTGCAATGCCTAGTGCATGTGGCCTTGTGTGACATGTGGGGGTGTTGGGGCCCAGACCCCCAGGGCCCGGGGCCCGATGATGGGGCCGACAGGTGGCGGGCCGACATCCAGGTATCGGTATCGATTGTTGCAGGTCACGGGACACAAACGGATGTTGATGTCTTTGTTTTGTTGGAGTGTTTTTCAGTACCACTGCACGCTCTCAAAATCATGACTCGAAACATCAATCAGAACCAAACCGCCTTAGGAGGTTCCTGAGTCGTGAATTGGGAGCCACATGCAAAGAACTGGAAACCTATGGAATCGAGGAAAGTACCTCCTTTCAAGGGAATCCTTGGTTCTCACGTGTCCTTGATTACGGTGAAAAACAAGTTTCAACAAACTCCTGTCTTCTGACTTCACTGGTAGGAAGAAATCAATCTTAACTTGGAATACACCCCATGTCCGGAGAAGTAGAGAAATCAACATACATCGACCATCAAAGGGGCTATATACTATGCAATGATCCACTGCTCTGAACGAAGTATCCCCATACTGAACATACAAAACACGCTTCCAGAAGGCAAGCTTGTTCGTCTCACTCTTGACCTCGTGAGAGACGAAGGCAATTGTAGATCTGATCAAATCCCAAAAGCCAAATCTTACCGGCAACCAGCATCGATCAAGAACCTGCACTTCGAATGGGAAGCAACAAATTCACCAACCACAAGGCCATGCCTTGTCCACAGCCCCCCCCTGTCGCTTCGGCACAAGCAGTTTCGCACCCAGAGCCATATCCGGCTCTGCGTGCGCGCGCCGGTAGAACCGCGTGGGCGTGTGGTTCAAACGCTGGTCGCCCACCTTGGCCACTTGGATCAGAATGGCTTGCCGCTCCTGCAGAAGCCATTTGAAACGAGAAATCGCCATCAACTGCATGAATAGTGCCCAGCACATCAAATTCTGTGGATCCCCAGCCAATCCACGTGTAGCCCCAACCGATCTTGGCTTGCCAGTGTCCACGAAGGGAGGCTTAAGCAGGACCTTCAGTACCTTGTGACCTAACTCGAGATCCCAGTTTGAAATTACTTAGAGACTCCAAAGAGGTCACTTTGAAGGTCCTGGAAGAGCCAGTTCTCACACGGTTGAATCTGGCTTGGCCTTCCATCTCAGTTTGTGACCCTCCAAAATTTGCTCCATGACATGAATGACCTCGAACTACCTGGACCCTCCATGCCTCCATGCGTACTCTGAAACATGGGTAATTATATACATGGCATATAGGGAGATCCTGTTTTCATAAGGCCACGTCCCATCTTCTAGTGTACCCAATTGATCTTCTAGGTCAGTTGCATCGTGCGCCATGCGTACTCTGGCGCATGTTTTCACACGCCGTCGATCTGCTCGGTTCGCCTCTGAGGTGATGGGTGAAGTCTTTAGCCTCCGGTCGAGCAGCGCAGGTCGGCGCCGAAGCGGTCGCTTCCGGTGCGATCGGATAGACCGCGCCTCGGCGGCACAGCAGGTACCGTCCACCTTTTTGGGAACTTCCCTAGGGCATCTCGTTTTCAACAAGGATTCTATCTCGGAACTCGGCCTTCACCCATTTTCGCACCGAACCAAAGAAACGAAAACGGAACCCGACTGGTACGACTGGTCCCGAAAAGTGGCTGGCACCGGCCAGTCACCGTGGAGACAACTCATCACCTGAGACCGGAGAAGGTACGAAAACGGATCCCTGGGGTCGGAGGAAAGAAGGCGGGGTGCCCCGTCATATCACATCCACAGCCCCGACGCAATGGGACGAAGCAAACCCACCTGAGCACCACCTGACTGCCATGGTTGGTACCTGCCATGTACCCAAAGACTTCATGTATCCAGCTCACACGGCCCAAACAAGCCCGGCCCGTGGGACTCACGGGCTGGGACAGGACTCACCTGTGACCGAACTGAAATTAATGTAGGCGACGTTCCGAACGCATGGAGGGTCTGTGTATGAAATACTCACCTACAACCTATTCGGATCCAGTCGTACCTTCTCAGGTACGGTGATTGGCGACACTGTTATGTAGGTGCCAGGAGGGTCCAAGTACCTTCTGAGAAGGTAGGGTACAAATTGACCCCAAGTTAACCACCTCAATCTATTACCATACGGGCCATACGTGGAGTGTTTGAGATACAGGAACCACTTCAGAACCACCAACTAGTTCGGATGAGTTTGGGGTGGTTCCAGGTGGGACTCTGATCGCTGGGTGGTCTATGTACTCATATGGACCATATGGACCATCATGAATTGGCTGGGTCTACAACAAAATTTGCGCAACTAACATGGGACCATTTTCCACTTGCATGTTATTAGCTCTAGGGAGTGTAAATGTCAAGACGCATCATCTGCCCACTACGGTACAATGCCCTTACAGAAAAACATGCAGATCAGGGTAGAATCTAGAATGAACATGGGACAAAAAAGCACTATCAAAACTGCGACCATGTTGGTCACAACAAATTTGGATGGGAACAACCCATGTTGACAGCAACTCATCCAGTCCTCCGAACTACAATCGGTGACATATCCATGAAAAACATGATTCCGAACCCAACCACCAGGTATCGAACTCCCTGGCAGACCAGTCTACCCTATAGTTTGTTTGGATGTGCTGCTCCGTTCGGAAACCAGAAAAAGACACGTGCATGTAAATAAGCATTCCCCGTGGTTTGGAGCTTCATCCAGTTCGGGAAAGAAACACGTCACCTGATCCGCAAAGCTACCCGTCTACCCATTGATGGCGGGTCTCCGAAAATACACACCTGTAATTGGTCCCAATTCCAGCCATCTTCGGGCCCCATCCAGCCTCTGCGACAGGATATCCCACAAGACCTGAAGAAAGGCAAAGAATCTGTCATCAAATAGTTCAAATGGACACCCTGCCAGGGGGGGTTAAGAGTGTAAGTGTTTCCAACATCCGGGCTCAATTCGGGACAGATCTCACAATCCAAACAACAGCCAGCACCAACAAAAGCAGCAACACCAACAAGCCAGAAGCAGCAAAGCAGCAAGCAAAAGCAATCGGCAGCAGGCAGCAACAGTAGCAGCAGCAGCGGCAAAGCAGCAAAGCAGCAAGCACCAGCAAAACCAGCAGCAGACCAGTAGCAGGCCAGCAACACCGGCAAGCCAGCAAGCAGAAGCAAGAAGCAGCAGGCAGCTACAGCAGCAGCAGCGACAGCAGCAGGAGCAGCAGCCAGCAGAAGCACAGCCGGCCAGCACCAGCAAAAGCAGCAGCAAAGCAGCAAGCAGCAGCAAGCACAGCAGCAAGCAGGCAGCCAGCACCAGCAAAACCACCAGCAGCAGCAGCAGCAGCAGCAGCAGCACCCACTGTTGGGCGCAGGCCCCTAAAATATAAGCTTCCCTAAGGATCCGCACCCTCAAAAACAAGGGTTTTGAGGATACAAACGCTTGTTATAGAGGGTTCGACCCCTTCCAAGGAGGATCCAAGGATGCTTACCGGTGATCATTTTTTCAAACTGCTGGAAACGGGTCCTGAGGCGCAGGATATCCGCTACACCAGGTGAAATTGCCTCGAGACATACCTGGATCTTCCATTTATAAGACCAGCCAAGTTAGGTAGAAATTCTGCATTGTTGAAAGACCCAGGTATGCTTGATAGATGGTGACGTTTATGTGGACAGCTACTGCCCTGAGACTTTAGGAAGATTCAACGGGCGTGTGCTGCAAATGTCCCCACTTCTGATGGCTTCCTGCTGCATCGGTAATTCACGTGTCATACTAGTGGTTCCCCTTTTGTAGCTGGAATGTGGGCAAACCATTGTCATGAATCAATATGTGAGATCCTTGCAATAACTAAAAAAAACACATATACTCCAAGTGGTGTGTCAATCAACCAGACTCGCGGAATGATCCATGATAGCGAACTCATAGCCATGACTCGTACCTCTTCAAGGCTAAAACCAACCGGTGCTTAGTATAGGGAGGGAATGAGCCCCCCATAGATTGATTTAGGATGAATTCCCTCATTCCTTAGGAGTCACTACAGTCAGTAAAAGGAGTTGGTCCTGCCAGAATTACATCAATTCAAAAAAAGACGTCTATAGCATGCTATGGCCATCAAGGATTGAACAGTAAAGGATGTTCCAGTTGTATTATATGGTCTTTCTTTTCATACTTACTTATACTAGCTATTTTGTTGCTTATCGACTGTAGCTGGAACCTGGGAACCAACAGCAACGGAGATCGTCGGTGCACGGTCCGGTTCCGCTCCAGCGGAGTGTCATCTGTCGGGTGGCGCTTCCGCCTGCCCCGGCAAGTACTCCATCACCACATAAGGCCTGAGAAGTCAAAGAGAAGTCAACATGATGTTCTGAAATGATCATGAGGTGAATGGAAAAGAGATGATCATGTGAAAGACTTCTAAATGAAGTTCTGAGAAGAAGTTAACATGTTGTTTCCAAACTCCTCTTTCCAGAGTACTCTACCGCAAAACCTGTTTCCTCCCTTCTCACCGGACTGGCCGGTCACCATGCAACCGGTCACCCCCTGGTCCACCAGTCCTGGCCGGTCACGTTGACATGATCGTCGCGACGAACCGAGACGAACCGAGACCAACCGGCGTGTCGTGTGGATCGACGAAACGAGCCGAGGCGTGTCGTAACCGGCGAATACGCCAGTCTACATCCGGAGAAAGACGGTCGGTGAATCCACAAAGCGTCTGGAATGTGCCGACAACGCAATCCCCCAAGAGGCCATCTAGAGGTTCAAGAAGGCTATCCCCTATGGTTTGAGGATGTTTGAGGTCACTTAAACCTCCTAATGGTCACTTAGGAACCTTCAAAAGGTCACTTTGAAGAAGCTGGCCACTGTTTCTGGGGAAAGGACTACAACACACATCTTCCTGGAAGCTCTGCACCGAGAAACAGAGATCCCCACCCTGACAACACCGGTGCAAGTAATGCTCCATCATCTCCATCTAAGATTTCCTCAGACTCAAGCTTCACCTCAAAAACAAACTCACTCAGGTTTTTCCCGAACACCTGTCGCCTTCACCTCCTTTCATCTCTTTTGTTCACCGTGGTCGCACACCCATTTCCTCTCACCGTGGTCGCTCGCTGCGCTGCGTCCAGTTTTCCCCCGCATCACGCTCATCACGCCGTCTCCCCGCATCACGCGAAACGCTGCGTGCGCGTCGCAACGCCTCGTGGCAAACGATCGGATCTCGGTCCAGTCAAAGTCCTCTGCCTCGCCGCGAAGCGAAGCGGCGCGTTGGCAGCGCGTGGCGTCGACAGGTTGGCAGCGCGTGCGAAGAGTCTACGGAAGTTTTCTTTTTTTTTTGCCGCCCTTTCTATGCATGGACCGTGCGAAGAAAAAGGACGAATTGGGTTTGGTTTGGGGAGATGACTTTATCCTGGAAACCCTCAAACCCAACCAGAAACCATCAGAAATCCATGGATGTTGAACCCCAAAGAACCACTAGGTTATGTATCTCACTTGCTATGGTGGAACAGCAAATTTGATTCTCATGTTCGCACGGTTGTTCTCCTGAAAGCAGGATGTTTCATATAGGCTTTTTTTCAGCCGAGGCCGTTGACTTTGAGACGTGGTACCCACCTTTCCGACATTTGTCTCGAAAGGACCCAACGCTCGGTTTGGGCGATTCGTTGGAGACCGGATCCTTCCGAACCTCCGTACTTCCGGCACCTCGGGATCCGGACCGTCCCTCCGGCACTCGAAACGAAGGGGTACGACCGTAAGCAGAAAGCCCTTCGGTGAGCGCAAGGATGGGAAGAAGCCAGCATTGACTTGAGGATTTTGCACGACATAAATTTATGGTTTATATAGTGAGTATGGTCCAGTATAAGCATGTATTACCATAATTGGTATTACATTGGTACATTGGTATTACTATATTGTGTGCATGATTGTGCATGTGACTTCTTATCAGGCTCGCTGCCTTAATGCATGTGGCAACAACAATAGTGGCATCTCTGCATTCATACTGTACTTCAAAAGGGTCCGTTCATGTGTTTGTGGCTAGAGCTCTGGTGAGGGATGGTTATGCTGCAAGCATACCCAACCTGATCAATTCTCCGGCAGCAAGGGCTTATCAATGAAACCAAGAGAAGCCACTTCCAATCCGAAACGTCCGCAGTTAATGGGCTAACACAACATCTGAGGTTCCACAAGTCATCAGGTTCCAGCGATCTATGCCAATCTCTGCAGTGGATCTACATAAACAAAGATGCTAGACATTCCCTTTGGGATCTACATACCGCCCATATAGGCCCTCTGAACAAGTGATCTGATCGACTTTTTGATATCTTTTGTGGATTCCTTTTGTGACAACCTACCACCAAACCATCCGTGCTTTGACTGTATGACCCGACCCAACTTTAATGTTATAGTAGCTATCCCTATAGGGCTCCTGTCCCACATCCTCAGAAGGTAGAGATAAACCCTTCTGACAGTCACCCCTGTCCTAATGATTCCGGAGGCATAGTATTTGGAGCCCCTAGGGAATGTAAGTAGCTCTCTTCCATCAGGTAAACTCTTGACGAATAATAATCCCTCCTTAGTTCATCCGGAGACGTAAAACTATTCTGGAGACGGGGGGGGTTGATTCATCAACCGTCTACCTCACATGGATGGTCCCGAATCCAACCCGCAGTTCCCACCCAAACCGCGCCTCATGCCGCCTCCGATGCTCCTCGAAGCTCTCCAAAGCTCCCTCCGCAACGACACAACGCATGGAGCGGAGGGAGCTGTGGCGCACGGAATCCGAATTCGTGCACGACTTCGGGACTCTCTATTGAACACCCCTTGTTGGAACCGTTTGGAAGGTTGTGGACGTACTGAGGTGCTCTTCATTCTTGACCATTGGCTTGATTGTTTCTTGCGCTAGCGGTCAGGGGACTGACTAATGTAGACGTTAGGTGTATATATATATATACACCAAACGTAATATCAATAAATGGGTCTGCTGGTCTGAGGATCTGCAGTCGCCATGGTCTTGGGTGGTTGGCCTTCACCCAAATGGTTTTGGTACAAATCCAATACTAAAGTTGTTCCCTAAAAATCCTTGGACCCTCCTTAGAAGGGGTCGAACCCTGTTGTTGACATTTGTTTTTCTGAATGACCCTACACCTCCAGGAGGTTACCTCCTCAGAAGGGATGACTGGGACATTGGCACCCACCCCAGTCCCACCTTCGAAACGAAGGTACGACTGGAGGCCTAGGGTGATGAGACAAGCTGGCATGGTTGAAAGCAGCCAACTCTTCGGTCACTTTCACGGTCTCATTTTTGGTGGTTTCAGAGGTTCGATGGCACTGGCACCTAAAGATGGATTTAGAGTAAAGATGGCGCTGGCACCCCAAGATGGTCCTGAACAAACGGGGATCCATATAAATCGCCGAACTTGGTGGATTGTGCCATCTACTCTGGAACCACTGGACGCAGTGTTCTAGCGCATCCCCAGCTCGTTGTCTGCCGATGATGGGTCGCCAGCTGCCTAGTGCTGTCACGCTCTGCACCTGGGTCATACGTTGTCTACGACTGTCACGCCCAGTACAACCAGTCATTCAGGACTAGACTATGACCAAGTAGCGTGCGACTATCTACTTGGGGACCACTGGATTCCAACTTCGCTGGCCGACCGCAGCCATGTCCAAAGCAACCAAGCTGTCTTTTGAGGCAAGTTCAGTCATTCTTGCCGTGGGGGCCTTTACATCGAAGGACTGGACTACGTGATCGGAGATGTACTCTCGTCGGATCTAACTCTGCATTCGATGCCATTGTTCGGGTTTCGTGCCTCTCATGAATCAAGTCTAAAACCGAAGAGTTTGACCTTCACCCCATGAAAACAAGAAAAACATAGAACAACACCACCAGCCCCACTCCGACCGTCCATTGTTGGGAGTTCTCATCGGACCTATCCCAAACCATTCATTGGGACCAGGCTCTAAGATCCTAGGACCCTCAAGCACAGCTCTTCAGCTTTTGATCACCCAAAGCTCCCTGCGAAAAGGCTCCAACATCCCTCCAGTCTCAGAGGGTCCAAGGATGGTGGGAGCCCGAGTGGTCCAACGAGATCACCCGAGGGAAATTAAATCGCCCAAAACACCGAGCCAAACGCGAGTTCCGCCCAACAAAAAGGGGCCCAGTGCATCCCAGTTACCACTATATATAAGGAACCAGGGATTCGTTCGGTCTTTGGTTTTAGTCTTTGGAACCGACCACTGGTTACCAGCGACATCGTGGTTTGCCTGGATGCCCTGGACGAAAGCTTCCCGTACGGCGTTCCAGTGACACCCTCGCGGCTTGGCGGCGAGTGGTTCACCCGCCTGTCGATCAAAGCCTGTGTGGTCCTGGTGAAAGATCCATGGCGTTTCGACTGGAGAACAAAGGAGCTGCCTAGAGTCTAGGCCCTAGCGAATCCATCCCAATATAGCAATGGTCTGGCCCTAAGGATCCGAGTCCGGACCCTCCATGGCCAGGGGTCGAACCCTCTATAACATTCTATAACAAGGGTTTGGGGCCCGAACCAGACCCTTCTTTTGGAGGGTGCGGATGGATGGTCTGGGATCCGTTTTACCGAACCGACCCGGTTGGGTACGACTGGACGGACCCGACCCTGGCACCGTCTCATGTCCTGAACACATCACATCCTGAGACGAGAAATGACATGGACCCTCTCAAAGAATCCATTCGACTACTCTCCCTGGAACTAACATGGAAGTGGAAAACACCCTGTTGGTAGAGGAAAATTATCTTCCAAGAGGCCATTATTGTCCACTTCCATGTTAGTTCCAAGGAGTATAAATCCATTGCATGGATGGATCGATTGTTTTTTCTTCATGTTTCTTCCCTAAGAATCCAAGCGGGCGGGTCTGACCTTCTCCAGTTAGGAACCCATCCTTCCCACGGACTTAAGGGGGGCACGGACGTTTTTGTGGGGTGAGAGGAGTTGAGGATCCGGACCCTGAAAAACCAGAACTTTGAGGGTACAAACCCTGTCCCTAAGGGTCCATGGTCCATGACCATCCTAAGGACGTCCTTTGACCTCATCCGAAGTACGTACTCACCTCCGTTCGACCATCCGAAGTACGGAGGTACCTGGACCCCTATGGGTGTTATAGAGGGTTCAACCACCGGTTCAACCCCTGCTGGGTCCACGGATCCAGAAACTGCTGTTCTGTCTGCGATCCCGGTGGCACCGCGACCCCGGTTGGACATCAACATCCCGGACGTACGTGGCTGGTCAATGGTGATACTCGATGTTGAAACGGACGGTAGCTCTTTAAGACCATATGTTGATGGTCTGAAAAAGACATGCTCCAAGAGGTATGAGTGAGAGTGAGAGCTGTATATTGAGCTATGAGGTGAATACTGTCCACTCGATAGCAGTTGCCAGGACACCTTTCCCATGATCTTGAATCCTTTGGAATGCTCAAAGTGTGAAAGACTGATGACAATTTGCCCTCAAATACCGCAAAACAAACAACTCCAAGGAGATCTGAAAAGCAAGCACATCATTCGACACGGATTTGAACCTTGAGCATGTGGATTGCTTCCCAGACTGTTCTGTTGGTCGTGTCTAGTGTCTTTCTGCTGGACGGTGAAAGACATGCTCAAACAATCTTGGAAGCGCGAACGGAAGGGGAGAGCAAAAGGCACCTCAAAGCCTCAAAATTTGTAAGATCTTCATGCAGTGTATGCACACCCTGGGGCTCCAAGTACCTCCACAGAAGGTATGACTGGCACCTCCAAGCCCAGTCCAAGTCCTGGAGCCCTAGGGACAGAACAAAATAGAATAAACTGTGAGACGTCTCCCACCCTACAACCCCATTCGGGAAGCCGTTCGATGTCCGGTCATGTCCATGAATGTCCGGCATGTCCGACAACCCCCTACTACTGGTCACGTGTGCGTCACCACCCCGGCACGACCACTCCATGGCACTGCCATCAGACGGACTGCCGATCAGTTGGGGCCGAGAAACGGGCTGGTGGTTGAAAAGGGGTCAATGTATGGAGCATATGCCAGTCCCATGGAGTGTTTGGGCCACAGAGTGAACCGCCTGCGGAAGAGTTCCGCACCTCCAAATATTTCACGAAGAGCTTCGCCCTCAAAGGATCATAGCGGACATGCTGCCGGCAGTGGAGCCTCGTCAAAGACCAAAAGGCCTCCGGCAGACCCGTCATCCGAAGTGGTCATCCTTTGCTGCGGCCTGAGACGTTTGACGTTTTCAGGTTCCAAATCATCAAAGCCTATGGATCCACATACCGAACCTCAGAAGGTACTTGGGCCCTCCAAGCCTACATAAATCATTAGTCTCCACCGTACCTGAGAAGGTACGACTGGATCTCTAGGGAAAGCTTAAAGCTAGATCTATCTCACGCATCGGCCGAAGCATGCCAAGACGCTCGTTGCTCGTTGCTGGAACTGTGAATTCACGGAAGGAACTCATCAAGTTAACAAACACCCACCATCTGCAGGTGAAAAAAAAAAACAGCACAAGGTGTTCACCATCAAAGTTTGCCCAAACCAGGGGAAGCGGATTCGAACACCGCCTACACGTTCTCTTTCTATCCCAAATGCACCCTCGTATGGAGGGGTCGGAGCCTCCAGCCTGGAGGGGTCTGGGGTGATAATCATAGGGGTTTTTGAAAGCTGCTCAGGTGTTTCACTGTTCACACAAAGCACACCTAACAGGATGTTTTGTTCGTCACACCGTCCGACCGTCATCTCTCTTCCGCTCTTTGACGTCTGTGCATCGCCTCTCGATGTAGCTCAAAAGCATGCACCGGTTGAGCTTGGGACCGCAGAACCTCGCCCCGGGCTCGCGCGGCTCGCGCGGCTGGGCAGTGCGGAGGATCGCGTTTTCAGGGGTGGGGTAAAGGGTCTTTATGGGTCTTTGCATGGAACCATGTACCCTGGGAGTCAGAATGGTCTGTAGGTGACCCGAAAAGGAATGTCCTTTACTTCAGTCGGTCAAAGAGTCGACCTGGACTTCTATAGGGTGTATGGAAAAGCACAAAACACATGATTGATGAACAAAAACATTGCGACTCTCCCGAGCCGGTTCAATCCCTGGTATCGATACAGTGTGCACACTTAACCGAACGAACTCCACCTGTTGCGATCGTTTGCAGCGGAGTGTTGTCCCCCTTTTTCCCCCAAAGCAGGTTGCGCAGGTGATCCACTGGGTATAGGCCTACAGCTCCAATGACCACCCTCGGTTCCATCGCAGAATCGCAGCTCCGGGGGCCCTGCGGATCGGGTCGGCTCAATCGGTCCGAATCATCCGATCTTCCCACAAAAGGCTTGGATTTTGCTTCAGGAACCTGGCAAAAATAGACATATTTCATCATATTCACCAGATCAGGCCCGCAAAAGCAAAAGCAGAAAAACACCTGTGGATCTGCGTTTCAGACGCGCAACGACTTGCCCACCTTAAGTGCCACTTTGCCCAGGGATCCCTTCATGTCCTCCGCCAGGTAGACGACCTTAGAGGCCACCATCTGACCCGAGCACTCGGGGAGAATCCAACAACTCCGGGAACTTCTCTGATGGTCGGTGGTTTTACCGTCGTTTTGTTGGGTGTTTTCTCAGAACGGCGTGGTTCCGTCGTCGGTGGAAAGCTCTAAGAGTCTAGGAGGGGATGAGTGGACTTGTTGGTCTATTTCATTGGCCATTTTGGTCTTGTGTTGGTCGGTGTTGGTTGCAAACACCACGGTGGCTCGCACAACTCCAGATTTTGGGTTCTTAGAAGCTTCCTCCACTGCTCCTCCTGAGCTGTGGTCGGCACACCGGCACACCCGGACCCTCGATTCGCATTTCAAAAATGCACATGGAAACCACATACCCGAGAAACTTCTTCGACCAATCTCTTCACTTGGGAGTTCCTTCTTGCTGTACCGCCCCAGAAGTCCATTGTTGAGGACAATGGCTGCTTCCCCGGGTGCGGGCAGCTGGCTCACTGGGATGGGACACTGTTGCTCCGGCAGCTGGCGATGTGGTTGGCACCACCCGTTGAACTCGTAGTGCACATTTTGCTGAAGCTAAAGCTGATCGTACGACTGGCCATGTGTGGCAAGAAGTTGGGAAACACCTCAATTTATGTGGTTGTGAGTTGAAGTCCGCCGGCCTGCCGGCGTGTCTTGTGGATGTTCTTGTACTTGCTTGTGTTGTCTAATCCTAAAGTTGTTCATCTTTGCCCCCCCACCACCTCCACCGCTTTGCGCGTCGTCGTCGTGGTCATGGTCGTGGTCGTGGTCGTGGTCGTGGTCGTGGTGGTGGTGGTGGTGGTGGTGGTCGTCGTCGTCGTCGTCGTCGTCGTCCGTCGTCCTGCACGCGCGTCGCCTGTTATTTGCCTGCACTTCACAGCGTTTTGCCATGCATAAAAACGTTTTGCCCACGGTTACTGTTTACACCAACCACCGCTTACACCAAACCACCGTTTAGACCAACCACCGTTTACACCCACGTTTACACCAACCACCGTCGTGACCACCAACCACGGTGTACACCAAACCACCGCCGTTTACACAGCAACTCACTGGTTTCGTCTCCATATTTCCGGATCATGCACAGGGGTGGAACGTGGTTGACTGACAGCCAATAAGGCCGACAGCCGGAGAACCCTCATAACCACTTGCCATTGCCTTCATAGGATGCAGTTGAACAAATTAGCGATGATACAATATGTCACCCATTCCAATGTAGAAGCTTTCTTCGAAGATCTTCGATGCGCCTCTCTCCCCGCCTTCCTTGCTCATTATGCGCCAACACTTCCGCGGCTTACATGAGAGGGTAGTACCCTCCTTGTTCTGCCATTCTTGCAGGGCAGCAATGGAAGACAAAGGACCTGGCCGCCAGCGAACTGGCCGCCAGGAAGCGGTGGTCATTCAATTGGTCCTTCTTGTTATTCCTTGTGCGTGTTCCAAACTGAGTATTTGATGCCCCGGTCTGGGCCACCCCGCGTGCAGGAGGCGAGCCGTGCCCACGCCAACCACGGAACGTGGTGGCGAGCGGGCACGGTTTCCTGCCAGTACTGCCGTGAAGTACTGGGCGACTTCCTGCCTTGTTGCGCTTGATCATCCATTTGTTCCTTCCTTGCGGGTGTCCTCTTCCTGTCCTTTTCCTGTCCCCTTCCTGTCTTTTTCTTGTCCTCTTGTCTTTTTCCTGTCCTTTTCGTGTCCTTTTTCCTGTCCTTTTCCTGTCCTCTTCCTGTCCTTTTCGTGTCCTTTTCATGTACGCTTCCTGTCCTCTTCCTTTTCGCGTCCTTTTCCTCTCCCTGTCCTTTTCGTGTCCTTTGTCCTGGTTTGCACCAAGCCACCGTTTACGCCAACCACCCTTTGCACCAAGCCAAGGTTTACACCAGCCACAGCTCACACCACACCACCCTTTACACGAAACCAAGGTTTACACACCAACCGCCGTTTGCACCACACCACCGTTTACACCAAACCACGGTCTGCACCCCCAACCATAGCTTGCAACACACCCCACTTTACATCAACCACGGTTCACATCAAGCCACGGTTCTTACCAATCACCATGCTATAGGACAAGACCTTGCGCTTTTTTCCCCGTAGCTCTCCCACCTCACCCGCTCACCCCTTCTCTTCGCACACTGTCTATCATACAGACCTCGACAGGCTATCTTGCCACCGACCCCTTTCCTCTATATATATATATATATATATGGGCGCGCGTGCTTTTCGGGGCCCCCTGAGAAGTAATGGATAAGATATAATACCATGAAACGCGCCCATATATATATATATGCATATACTTCCACAAAAACATTGCACATAGACTGCATGAAATCTTTCATACGCCATACGCCCAGGTTCATGCCAGAGGAGGTTCATGCTATCTACAAGCGCAAAGCTGCATTGACATTCTGCATGGCGGATTTAATCATTTGCAGACAACCGCCCATGTCTTCAAGGTGGTGCACTTCTTGTAAGTTCTTCAGATGTGTCAATGCAGCCTGCAGTTCTACCTTGCGGCGCTTAGTACGGTCAGAGGACGAGGAAGAGGAGGTAGAAGACGAAGAAGATGAAGATGAGACCTTGGCCTTGCCATCCTTGGGGGTTGTCTCCTTGACGCAATCCTCGTCCATCATATTGTCATCATTTGGCTGTGAGTCCAGGGCTTCTGAGTGATGGTCCTCAAAGATGTTGGCATCCTCATCCTTTGGCTGTGAGTCCAGGGCTTCTGAGCTCTCAACGATGTTGCCAACGGCTTTTGAGCAGGAACTTTCAGCAGGTGGTTTGTCCTCCAATGCCAACATATTCCTTTTCTGCACGCCCTTCAAATCTTTCAAGAGCCACGTGTCGAGAACATCTTGCGCTTGACGAGACCACTGGCCAGAAATGCCAGGAGCTAAATTCAAGCTTCTTTGGACATAGTGAATATGCGCTTGAATCTGTCTCGGTGTTCGTTGTTGTTTTGACTCACACGCTGCTTTGCGGCCACTGACGATGTCCTGGTGGAGTTCATGTGCGTTGGGCACAGGCACTGACGGCTCAGCATCAGTAGTTGGGTCTGGGCGGTAGATGACAGGGTCCACCGTCTGCAGATCCAACGAAAACCGCCCAGGTTCTACTTCAGAACCCATAGCCACAAACATCACCTTCTTGGGCGCCATGATGACACTGATACAGACTTAAGCTGGAGCCAGTCACTATCAAGGTAACTTCATCAATGAAGAAGTGGTGTGTTTATAAACAGTAGTCAGTGTTTATAAACATGCAAACTGCCAAAGTAAACAAGAGTAATCAAATACAGATACCACCTGCAAAAAGCTATATGCTTGTTGTCAAATGACATTGAAGTAATCATGCAAGCAAACACATACAGAAACCACTACAAGAACATACCTTGCCGATGCAGACGCTAAAGACATGACATTTTTTGCGTAAAGCTACTGCAGCAGATTGCATTGCAATCTATACCCATACCGTTGGTCAGACAGAGTACACAGATGAACGCTAAGGTGATGACAAAACAAATGCATTCAGCATTGATTGAAATGAGTTGCCAATGTTGACTCTGAACGTGTACTCGTACAGATCCCCTACATCTACTTCGTCTTCTGCTTCATTTGAAGCTGTGGACTGGAAGCATAACCTGCCATAGCGCTCTCTCACCATGGTCTTGAGACGGGAAAACTCGGATTCAATATCGTTCGAATGGAATCCAGTATTGGCATCTCTCCAACCAGTCGAGTGGTTGATGGACGGAGCCGCCTTCAGCCCAAGACTTTTGATGGCAGCAGTAGATGCTTTCCAAGCGTCGTGCACGAGAAACGCCTGCTTGGCAATGCACGATTGGATAGCAATCTTCATAGAAGCAGTGCCCCGCGATTTGTGATCCGCAGCAAAAGCAGGCTTTGGCAAGAGGGTAAAGGAAAACCGTTTTTTCCGTTCTCATGTGTGTATTTTGTTTTCTTATTTCCAACAAGAACCGCTGCAAAGAGCCATCGGCCCTGGGAGCGGGTGTCCCTCTCTGTGCCCACCTTGTTCTTGTTGAAGACAGATTTCATGACTGCGGCAGGCCGGCGAAGTGGGGCGGCAGCCGGCCGACGCGCAGGCGCAGCAGCAGGCCGGCGCAAATGAGCAGCTGGACGCCGGTGAACGGTTTGTGCTGGAAGTCTCTTTGCCACACGTTGCGAAGTCACGGCCTTTGTTCTCTCTGAACTACGACCAGATGATGATGACTTCGAAATGCCCCGTTGACTGCCCAAGTTTGTCTCATCAAAGACCACAACATCTCCAGGAGTAGCACCAATGATCATGCTGCTGTGGTGCAAGAGGTAATTCTGCAAAGAGGACTGGTATAATGTCCGCCATCGGCGCATGGTCTTGTCAGAGAAGCTATTCCCAAAGATAGACTGAAGCTCGGATTGAATTTTGTTCCACCTGTAGTTTAGCCGCATTGCGTTGGAGAAGTACAAGAAAGGCAACCACATGGAGCAAGACACTTGGGACAGAAGACCTGCAGGACAAAGGGAAGAACGAAAGCATTTGTGACCTCGTTGACAGCAACGCCATCTATAACGTAGTTCTTCATCTTCCCATTCCTCCACCAACTTCACCGAGTGCTTCTTGTTGTTTGGGCAAACCTTGACATCAGGAATCAACCCAAGAGACAAAGCAATCAGAATGCCCCGTAGTGAAGTACAATCAGTGAGTTCATTCTCTGAGCACAATGGAGGCCCCAGCGCATGTAAAGTCAAAGCTGGAGATGACGCAAACCAACCTTCACAAACTTCACTTCGGTATTCTGCATGAGTCAGCGGCCGAAACAGACCTGCAGAGCTTTGTTGGGCAGGCCTCCTTCGAACGGATCTGGAAAGCATTTTGCGCAGATACGACAACTACCATCATGTGAGGATGCTTGGCATACTGGATGGCGACAGCAAACATGCCCTGGAACTGCTCCCAGGTGATGGTATCACCCAAAGAAAGATCTGGCTCTTTGGTTTCATCCCATTCGTTGTTCAGGATCACCCGGCATTGGTTGCGTACAAATTTGGCAGGCTTGTAGCGGGCATCTACTAAGCAAGTCTCACCAACGTCTAAGAAAGACTTGATGTCTTCAAAGTTGATAGCACTGAGGTTTGGGTCATCCAGCAAGACAGGCACATTGACCTCACCCGGCCGCTCGCGAAACCCGTCAATTTGCTTTGATCGCCGCCAGCCAGCCATGCCAGAAAGACCACGAACAGAAATAAGATGACGAGCTACTGCCAAGGTCATAATTTGTGCAGTTGGAGTTTTGCCAATGCCGGCTCGCCCAAGGACCATCAAGCCAAAGTTGGGAAGATAAGGAAGCACCAGGGGCACCACAGATTTCAGAAACTTGGGGTTCAGGTCAAAGAGCAGCAAAGGAAAGAACCATTCCGGTTCAGACTGGCAGTTGCCAGATGACCGGTTTGCGCATGCTTTCTGGACTACTGCAGATGGCCAACCGTAGAGCGGCGATGCCTCATCACGAATGTTCAGCAATACCCAAAGATATTGCTCATTGTGAGCGTTGGCCAGAGGAGCATGTTCATTGATGTAGGCTATTCCACAGCGAAGCTCTTCTTCATCTGGATTCCAAGTCTTGTTGTCTCCATCCTTGGAAGTATGCCGTTGAATCTGTGGCTTGTCCACTACTTCTTGTGTTAGCCACTGGTCTCCTGGAATCTTGCTCAACATCTTCATGAAGCCCTTCTTGACGACATCAGAATTAGAGCAAATCTTGTAGTCGATGGTGAGGACGTTATTGTTGCAAAGAGTTTTGGCCAAGCCCATTGGAATTGACACCGTAGAGTGGTAGAACTTGAGGACTGTCCAGGAAGCATGAGCAGATTTTTCCAAAACTAATTGAAGTACACAAGAGTCACCAAGAGCATCACGTGGACGGACAGATGCAGGTAGATGAGCATATTTTGGTGATGCCTCACTCATCACTGAACGAATAGCAGCCACATCCACATCAGACACATTGCGGATGACCTGAAAGAACTCCTTGAAGGACTTTTTGGATTTGGGCTCCACTTTGATCAGAGGTAGTTGATCAATGGACACTGTGCCATCCGAAACTTTTGTGTGCTTGTGTGTTTGCATGTACTTCATATATGCGTTGTTACCTTCCATCATGGCAGCTTCCATGGCACAAGATTGGAGGTAAGAAGCAGTTGCTGACAAACTAGTTCGAGCAAATATACTGAAGAAACCAATGTTTATAAACAACCATTTTGTTTATAAACAACTCCTTTCTTCAGCTGGGGGAGGGGGGGGGGG